AGAGTTCTGCCAGAGTTTCACTTCCAGGTCTTCTGTTGGTTGGATTTGCTTTATTTTCATGATTCTGGCAATGCGCATTTGAGAAAAGAAATTCTTAGCACTGGTTGGGATCAGTGGGGTTAGCATAGAATGCTGCAGAAATACAAAGGCTATGCAACTCATTTACCACTAGGAAACTGAAGAAGCCTTCCTCAAGAGCCTCGAGATAGCCTCTAAGCTAATTGAAAGAATGAGCCTCTGTCTCTGCCTGTGACCTTGAATGGGAAGGTGAGGTGGAGCAGGGACTGTCTACGCCTGGCTCTCTACTCCTTGGAAACAAACGCATTTTGGAGACCTAGAAATGAAAGTGCCCTCTCTTCCCCTCTAGCCGCAAGCTAGCAGCTCCAGCGCTGTCAGATAACGGCAAACACAGAGGTGAGGCGTTCATGACTATTTCAAACAGAACCATTGTTTCTCTCGGATTCATTTCAGGAAGGAAACAAAGGAAAGGCCAAAGCATGAAGGAGCTAGAGTGAGCCATACATTTTGGTATCGAATTATTCTTTGTGGAAGAAGATTGAATATAGTTTTGAGCCTCAAAGTAACACTGGAGGAAGGTAGAATGGATGCAGGGTGGATTTGTGAATGTGTCTGACACACAGCCTCCAGCACATGTGACCTCAAATACCCAGCTTCCTCCACTGTGCTTAGCACACGTGTGTGTGTGTGCATGCACGTGTGTGTGTGTGTGTACATGTGCAGTGTACCTGTACTGCATGTGTATGTGCATGTGGAGGCCAGAGGTCTAGGTTAGTTAGGTATCTTCCTTTCATTTTTTGAGACAGGGTCTTTCACTGAACTGGAGCTCAGCGATTTGGCAAGACTGGATGGCTTAGGAGCCAAATGTGTGTGTGTGTACATGTGCAGTGTACCTGTACTGCATGTGTATGTGTATGTGGAGGCCAGAGGTCTAGGTTAGTTAGGTATCTTCCTTTCATTTTTTGAGACAGGGTCTTTCACTGAACTGGAGCTCAGCGATTTGGCAAGACTGGATGGCTTAGGAGCCAAGGATCGGCCTGTCTCTGCTGCTGCTCCCCCCCCTCCCCCACCCCATTTCGGTTACAGGCTCAAGTTGGTGTGCCTGGCTCCCCATCGCCCTCTGTCTGGCTTTTTATGTGTGTACTTGGTATCTGAACTCAGGCCCTCCGACTTAAGCAGTAGATACTTTACCATCTGGGCCATCATTCTGGTCTGGGCTAACCTTTTTATGTCTTTGAAAATTATCCTTCTCCCTCTTTTCTTGTATACAGTTATTTTATGCTATAGGGCATTCTCTAACACTAGGCTTTGGGTTAGATTTTTCCTCTAGATTTTTTAGTCTGTTTAGCTAACTTTTGGTAATGTTGAGTACCTCACTAGAAAGGAAAAGCACTGTAACTCACACTTCTATTCAGAAATGACTCAGCAGTGGCAGCCTGACACTTTCTCCAATGTTTGTGGGGAATATTTTTAACTCTTTCGTTTCCATTTAGAAGATCATTTTCCATTTCATGTAAATTTAATTTTCAATTCATCATTGGACAAGCATTTTAGATTCTACTTTAAATTATATCAACATTTGTATTTTTAATGTCTTTTGAAAGTGGAAATAAGTAAAAATTTTGATAGCGATGTGAAGTTTAATTTGAATATTCCCCTGTGGTAGTAATAGTCACTCTTGTTACCTGACCCCCAATTTTAAAAACATTTAAAAACTGTAAGTGAAGCAGAGATAAACAGTTCAGTGTTTAACTCAGTTAAATATGGGAAGTTTCAAAACACCATTTTAGCCATGCAAAGTGGTACATCCTGTAATCTCAGCACTTGGGGTGTAGAGGCAGGAGGATCATGACCTTAAGGTTGTCTTTCCTATCTATTGAACTTGAACTTGAGGTCAACCAAAGCCACATGAGACCGTGTCTCAAAAACAAACAAACAAAAAAAACCAACAAAACAAAGGGTTAGGGATGGCTCTGTGGTAAAGCCTTTGTCACCCAAGCGTGATGACTTGAGTTTGAATCCCCAGAATCCATGTAAAGTTGAGCATGGTAGTACACCCCTGTAAATCCAGTGCTCCTATGGTAACAAGGGAGTAGGAACAGGAGGCTCCCCCAAGGCCAGGCAGCCCTGCACATGCAGGTATGAACAACAGAGAATTCTGTCTCAAACAATGTGGAAGGTAAGAAACAACACCAGAGGTTGTCCTCTGACCTCCATGTACATGCTCGTGCACATACACATACACATACAAACCACACATACAGTCACTTGTACACACACACACACACACACACACACTATAAGAAGAGAACCAGAGGCTCTTTGCATGATCCCACACCAATGCCTTCCCTATGATTTAGTGTCTCCTTTGTGCTCTTTCTGAAGTGATACAGAATGAAAGAGCAAAGGGGAGGTGAAAGGAGGAGGAAGCACTTTGAGAACCGGACACAATAGATTTTGAAAGCCGAGACATGTAAGAAGGAAAATGGCAAACGGGGAGGACGTCGGGGCAGCAGGGGGAGCACAGAAAGGTGCAGGAATGTGAAGACCTATGATTTAGTGTCTCCTTTGTGCTCTTTCTGAAGTGATACAGAATGAAAGAGCAAAGGGGAGGTGAAAGGAGGAGGAAGCACTTTGAGAACCGGACACAATAGATTTTGAAAGCCGAGACATGTAAGAAGGAAAATGGCAAACGGGGAGGACGTCGGGGCAGCAGGGGGAGCACAGAAAGGTGCAGGAATGTGAAGACAGGGTTGCAGAATTTTCCCAATGATTCTCTTATTTGTTTTGACCATGATTTCAGAAAACAAAGACACAACTAAACGTGCATGGTTTCCCCCTAAATTCAGCCAGGTCTAAATCACAGAAAGCTGACCACCTTTCCCCAACCACATGTATTAGCAATGGCCTCTGTTGCTCATTCAGAACACGCCATGCCATCTGGGGGTGCACACTATTCCAGGTCCTAGAAGTACACTGAGCATGATCCTGGACTGCTTGAGAAGACCTCACTGGGAAGACAGCATTTAGATTCAATTCCAAGGCAGAGCCATCAATAATGACAGCCAGTGTTACCTGGCAGCCACTTGAACCAGATGCATCCCCACATCTCTCAGCTGCAGCTCTGAGTTAGGTGTTTTGAATCTCTGTTTTTCAGATGCATAAACAGGTCAAAAAGACTTGTTTCAGATAATGTTGCTGAGATTTGAACTGAGCTTATCCAGATTTTGTGTGTGTGTGTGTGTGTGTGTGTGTGTATGTGTGTGTGTGTGTGTGTTGTGTGTGATGGTACCCATGTGAATGAAACAGGCACAGGTGCACATGTATGGAATCCAGAGGACAGTCCAGGCTGTTGCAGAAGATCCTCAAATCAACTAGACTGCTGATTTGTGAGTCCCAGGGATCCACCTATCTCTGGGTACAAAAGTGCATCACAATGCCCCCCCCCAATCAAACTTGGGTCTTCACAACAACAGAACCATCTCCTTAGCCATAACTAATAGACCCTCAGATAACATGAATAAGCATTATTAATGAAAAAATCCAAACTCCTGAGTGCTGCAAAATCTGAACCTGTTGGAATACCACGATACCACAGAGTTGAGAATGCCACATTTGACTTTGTATGACACATTGCATTCAAGATTTGGGATCATATACCAAAATTTGAAGAAGCAAAACAAAATAAAACAAAGCAGCATAATCTAATACTTCTAGTCCCAAGCTTTTCTGGTAAGGGTTAATCAATCCAAAGAAGAAAAATGTATTTATGGAGCCACAGGTAAATACATTTAGGAGTACTAGGATGGTTATCTTTGCTGTTGCCTGGAGTCTCGTGTACACTTTAGGTTTTCTCAAGGAATAATCAAAGAGAAAACTCTCTGAGATTGTACCTTAGCTATAACCTAGTCTCTTCTGATTCACTGTGTGTTCTGCCTTAATGTGGTTCCAATCAAGATGTCCATCTGGGGAGGCAGTGCTGAAATTCAGCAATATCTCCTTGGACACTGTTTGGATTACCTATTGCATTTCATGTCCGCCTTGAAAATAAAGATAAAGCAAGCCAGATGTGCTAGCACAACCTTTAATATCAGCTCTTGGGAGGTAGAGGCAGGCAGATCATTGTGTGATCAAGGCCAGCCTGAGATAGTCTACATAGTTCCAGGTCAGCTAGGGTTACAAGGAGACCATTTAAAAACAAAACAAAACAAAAAAACCACAAAAAGATAATGGGGTAATGGGTCTTGAGAGATGGCTAAGTGGCAGCTAAGAGCACTGGCTGCTTTTGTAGAGGACTCAGGTCCTGAGTTTGGTTCCCAGCACCCACATGGCAGCTAAAAACTGACCTGTAACTCCAGTTCCACGGGATCCAACGTCCTCTTCTGGTTTCCACCAGCACAATACAGATGCACTTACACACATGCAGGGAAAACACTCACATATATAAAATAAATTTTTTAAATGATAATAAAATAAATATAAATCAACAGGCTCAGGTGAATTATAGCAACTCTATCCAGTTCATTTTGTTCATTTTTTTCCCATACTAGGGATTGCATCTAAGAACCTGTATATGTTAGGACACTGCTCAGCTACACCCCACCCCCACGCTACCATACAAAATATTTTAAGAATCAGAAAAGTAAAGTGTCTTCAATTTATGAATGTTACTTGTGTCCCCTTCATCCAGGCCTGTCTCTACTACTACATAAATGTACCTCTCACACAAGCCCTTGTCCAGTGCATTTAAGAGAAACGTGTTCCACGTCACTCTTGTTTTTTTTACTTGATGCTCACTGTGAAAATACATAGAAAATCTGAAGTGATGGGGCATGTTTTGTAAAACAAATATGAGCTAGAACTGGATCTTCAAAGCATCCAAAGTTTCTATGTGGCTGTCTGTCTGCCTGTCTGTCTAGTCACTGACATACCATGACCTAGATCTAGGCAATGGTTTTGAACTTGTGTTTTTTTCCTTGCAGGGTCGGCATGTCAAAACGGGCCAGCTTGCAGCCATTAAGGTCATGGATGTCACAGGGGTAAGGTCTCTTTACCTTATCATCATAATAGCTATATATTTATAACAAGAAAATGAGTGACAGAAAAAATTACTTTCCAGAAAAGTAATCTTCCTAAATATTTCCGATCTTTTCCCACATGAAGAAAAATATGCAACAGCTAACTGAGGAGACCATGGACAAATGACTAATTAAATCCAGTACTGCACACTGCCTCAGGTTGTTAGAATGATGTGTGCCAATAATTTCCATAAACATACCCATGGATATTTGCATATGAGGGCAGAACAAGCATTCCAGGTCATTAAGTGAATAATACTGAGATTACATAGAAGAGATAGGACAGTTCCCCAAAGCTCTACCTAACAACTGAAGCAGAGGACAGTATCCTAGCAGATACTTAGCATGAACACTTTCCAAAACAAAATATTTTAGAACAAATAATCACATAACCACAAATTCTTATTTATTAGAGAGTAGCACTAAACCAAATATCCCCCTGATGATCACATGCAATCTAGGATTCCTTTAGACTTTATCTTAAATACAGGCTAATGATTTTTATTCTTTTACTAGGTCTTTAAAATATTTTAATATCTTTTCAAGGGTATAGAATGGAAATCAGACTTGCAAAGTTTCACTGGACATGAAAAACATGCTAATAATTTTCTACTATCCTGAAAATTGTTAAGATATTCATCTGTTATACATTAAAAAAGCTAAAAGATCAAAGTCCCAGATTGGTCCAGCAGTGAAATACTGAGCATAAATGGTCATCGAAGAAGTCACACAAAGGTCTCAAGAACCAAGAAACAGATTTTAAAAAAGAGACACAGTATGCCTGCATGTCTGTCAGCTTTTAAGGCATATTTTTAGACCTAGTTTGTTGTCTTTGGGAAGTATATGCTCTAAGGTCTTACAAAATACCAGTTCACTAATTTTTATGCATATTGCACATTGTATCCACTTATTTATTTATTCCTTATTTACTATTGATCTAAATTTCTCTTTAGATTATATTTGTAAATTTTAATTAATAAAAATGAAATCTTGTTCCTATGTGTTTATTACCAGTTAGGTGACACTCTAAATTACATGCTACAAGTTGGGTGGCATTTTGTTTCTTATTTGTCTTTCAGTGGTTGCAAACCAGTTCAAGTTTCATCTGAATTAGTTGATGAAGTCACCTGATTTTGACTAAGAAATGCCTGTGGAGTCTATAAAATAGAGTTATACCTTGCCACTTGAAAGAGGATTAATCATGAAAGAAGTATCTTATTTCTCATATTAAAAGGAATCTAGAGATTAATCATTGTGACAATTGGTATTGTCAACTTGTCAGAATCTAGACTCACTTGGGAGACAGGCCTCTGAGCATATCTTGATTAGGGAATATCACAATTACATTAATTGAGATGGAGAAACCTGTCCACTGTGGGTAACACCATTTCCTGGCTGGGATCCTGGACTGTGTAAGTGGAGAAAGAGAGTACATTCATCACTTTCTGCTTCTTGATTGCGGATGCCATGCAACCAGCTATTTCAAGCTTCTCTGCCATGATGAACTGTACCCTTGAAATGTGGCCTAACATCAACCCTTTCTCTCTTAAGTTACTTTTATCAGAGTTTCTTATCACAGCAATGGGAAAAGAAGCTAAGACTAAGGATGTTTGGCTACAGTGAAGTTAAGAATGGTTTTATCTTTCTAGTCTGTCACTCTAACACAAAGCCTTCTTACCAATTAGGGTCACTTCATAATTCTGTAGAGTTGCGATTTCTATTGATCACACAAAAAACAAGGGGGCAGAAAGATACAGAAAAGGCCCATCCAATGAATTTTTTATCTCTTTGCCTGTCTACTGATGTGTACAGTTAAATATACAGGCTCTATAAGTCAGAAATAAAAGAGTGGGTAATGGAATAGTGAATCAGCAAGATCTAACACAAAAATCAAGATGTAGGATTTACAAGCCTTTATCTAGAAACTCATGATACGTATGTAGGCATTTCATAAAACCTCAACAATACAGATCAGAATTCGTTTTGCAATTTTGCTTAAGTCACAGTGTTATGTTATCCTCGCACCAAGTCAGGTCTCTACATAATGGATGCACTTGGCAGTTTAACAAATAATGGCTGTGGATGAAGTCCAAGACTGTCTTGCTGTAGGTTAAGATCTGTTGCGTGGTTCTGCAGAACAGGAGCTGAGTTCCACCGACGTGAATGTTGCTACAAATTTTTCATTGGTGTACAAAGAGTGACTTGAGCACATTGAATATTAGTCTTCCAGTTTTCTTGGTGAGGCTTTGAATTGCTCCAAGAACCACTCGGTATTGCTAAGCCACCTTGCTTAGAATTGGAAAAAAAATGTTACATAGATATTTAGCTTTGCGGGTGGATTTTCAAGCTAACAAATCAGCCTTTCTGAACTAGGCTCTGTAGACAAATGAGCCCTGTGGAAAATGATCTGAGAACTTTTCTCTCATTTTTTCCAAGGCCTGTGTGGAGTGATTACCATTACATACATACATACATACATACATACATACACACACACATATGTACATCAGGTACTTTATGTGGGTTCAGTTCTCCAGAAGAAACCATTTTCAGAGGCACTGGGTACGATTCTGTGATTTAGTCACAGTGCTGACTTTTGTTCTAGCCCTTAACAAAGACAAATATGGATGTTCAACAAGAAATGGAGGGGGGATTTGTTTGTTTCATTTTTTTTAGATAGGTTCTCACCATGTGACCCTGGCTGGCCTGAAACTCACTATGAACACAGGCTGGGCTCCAGCTCACAGAAAATTGCCTGCCTCTGTCTCCCAATGGTTAAGATTAAAGGCATGTACTACCATGCCTAGCCTTTAAAAAAAAAAAAAGATTTATTTATATTTCCTTTATATGTATGAGTATTTTGCCTCTTTGCATCTAAGTGCACCATGTACATGCAGTGCCCTCAGAGGCCAGAAGTATGTGTTGAATCCCCTGGAACTGGAGTTACAAATAGTTGTGAGCCACTGTATGGGTGCTGGGAACTGAACCTGGGTCCTCTACAAGAGCAGTATGCACTCTTAACCACTGAGCCATCTGTCCAGGCACTAGGAAATGGTTTTCTTATTGCCTTACTGTTTGAGGTGGGACACATCAAACAGCAAAATTTTGTCCTGACACATCACAGTCAGTAGGACCTTTCCTTTGTGAAAGCCTTGTGTTTCTTTTAGAAAGCAATCGATTCCATTTTGCTGTGTTGTCTTTCATGTAGTATAGAATCCAATGCAAATGCTTCTCACCAATTATTATAATTGTGCTCATTATAGCCTGCTCTGTTAAAAACCGAGATGAATTCTCAAAGGTCATCTTTGTTGATTGTGTTCTGTAACCTACTGGGAAGTTACTATTTATTGTAATGAAATTGATGAGGCCATAAGCTTGAAATTAATTTTCAAATTCTTGGTTTTATTCGATACCACTTCTTTTTATAGAAAACAGTTACAAAGAGATGCAAATACAGTGCGTATCTCCTTCCAGTTTTAGAGCTGAGACACTGCAAAATTTGCCCAATTTTCCTCAGAATTAGTGCTTTACATTCAGTCTTGGTCTTCAAAGTCCTTTTAACTCCCCAAATCATTATGAAAATTATCCCATTTCATTGCCTTGTAGGAACTCCTTCCCCACTGGATTTGCAACTCTAAATTTACCTACAATAGCTCAGAGCAATTGGACACTCTAGGGTGCTATTTCTCAAAGTGCACTATCATCTGCAGTGATCCAGGAGTCCTGGAAATTCCTGGCCCTGCTGTAGAATCCCAGGAATTAACCTTGAAATCTGCTTTTTCTCCATGTCCTCCATTGAGGCCACATTATAAATACAGGGCTTTACTGTCCTGGGGTCCTGTATTTACATTCTTCTGGCCACCAGGTCTGATAAGATTATAGTTGTTTGATAATAAATATTCCTTATCTTCATTGTAGTGAAAATTCCTGGTGTAAGTTAGTCCCATTACAGTGATATCCTACACTGCATCTAGGAGGTAGTACAATAATAACAATTTGATAAGTTTTCACCTTTACACTGACTAGTCATGATTACACTACTCAAAAGGAAATTTGCTTGCTTGTGTGCATTAAAACACACTCACACAACTTAGCAGGGTCCAGGAAGCCACATGGTATGATGGGGGATTTTTGTCTCTGTCATCTCCAGATTCTGCTCTCTTCCCAAACAAAGCTCACACTTCATGCTCTTAGATCCTCATTACCATGATACCCGGTGTGTGGCACACACCTTTAATCCCAGCACTCAGGAGGCAGAGGCAGGCGGATCTCTGTGAGTTCGAGGCCAGCCTGGTCTCCATAGTGAATCCAGGACAGCTGGGGCTATAGGGAGACCCTGTCTCAAAAAGACCAAAAAGAAAAAAAAAAAAAGAAAAAAGGCTGTTGTGAATAAGTGACCTCTCTTGGGTGATGCCTTCAATCTCTGATTCTTAAAACTATCTATGTTGAATGCTTGACTCTGAAACTTACCGTGGGGAGGGCTGATTCCTCAAAGAGAAACCTGAAAGCTATTACAGAAATGAGGGGCAAGATGCCGAGTAGGCAACGTCAGGAGAATTCCATTGCATCCCAGCATCTTACTTCATACCGTATCAGTCAAGTCACAACATGTCATTATAGTGTGTTCAGAACTGATTTGGTCCTTAGGTGTCTCTCTAGTTACATTTTTTTAATACTCTAGCCCCAAATAATATTCATAGGTAACACTGGTAGAGTGATTCATATGTGCCAGAATTCATTTAATGCTTTGCATGTGTTATTTTTTCTAACTCAGTGACCTACAAAACATGTTCGATTATTTGTCCCATGTTAGAGATGTGAAACCCAAGCATATTAAGTACCTTACTCCATGTAGTGTGGCCATTAAATGGTTGAGTGAACATTTCCTCCTGAGCAGTTTAATTCCATGCTTTAATTCCATCCTTTTAACCTCATAGCCAGATGTCTCCAATTAATGTAGA